AAAACACGATAACTAAAAAGCAAAGATTTGACCAGAAGATTATTCGAAGCTATAATAAAAGAGTAACATTTCATAAACGCTTTTCTATTTGCTTCTTATTTAATCATTCAGTCGAGATTAATCCATGTTTTTCAATTTCTGTTATTGTATTAAAACAATAGACTCTTGAATATGCCACACAAATGCAAGCCAGAAAGAGACTTTGCATCCCTACACAAAACGTTGGAATTTTCCGGTCGGCCATGTTGAAAAGAAAAAACTAAGTGACAGATTACCCAAGCATCCTTGTTCTGTGAGTACATCAAGCTCTTTTTTTTTTTTTTCTTCAGAGATTAATTAGTCAGTGAGATGATGTTTGTTGTATGATACACTTGCCAAAACGCCGAACATAATGATTAAAGTGTTTTTAAAAAGTCTTCGATTTGAATTATCTACGAATTCAGCAAAATAAGGAAGCAAATAATGCAAGACTAATTTCGATGGATCTTTTCAAGTGGACTGTGAGTTTGTTTCCATTTTAACAATACCTAACCTTGTGTTTAAAACGTCTAAAAATACTTTTTTTCTTTTGATTAATAATTTCTTAATTCTAACATTTACAAAATTTCTCATCTATTGGATTATTTTTTTTTTATATAGATTTCATTATTAAGAACTTTTTGTTGAACAAGACACACGCCAAAGAAAAAGACAAAACCGAGAAAGCCCATCTCTTTAGTTTCCTACCAAATTGAAAAATAAACAACTTTGGTAGAGACGAATAATACACGAGACATTCAGATATAGATTTTTATAGATTTATAAAACAAATATTGAAAATAATAGGATCTTTGATATAACACATAAATGGCAGTTAAACGTAGACTTTGCATCCCAAAGATGTTGGGATCTTCCAACATCAAGGTGAGCTATCTAGGAAAAATGAAATACAATATCACTCGCACACCTGCATATCCTCGACCATTTGGGGGAGGGGGTTGACCAAATCAAGATCCTTTCTACAGAGACATTTGGAGATTAATTAATCAATTAATGAGATCGTACTCATTTTGCTTAATCTGTTCTTAATTCTAACATTAACAATATTTCTTATCTCTTGGATTATTTATTTATACACTGCATCATTAAGCACTTTAAGTGTTGGAGAAGACACTTGCCAAAGAAGACAAAGACAACCAAAAAAAAAAAAGCCCACAAATTTGGTTTCCTACCAAGTTGACAAAATAAGCAACAGCTGTAGAGACCAATAATTAACGGCACATCCAGATGAAGATTTTTTTCAAAAAAATTTTTTTTTTTTTTTTTTAATAATAATCCTAATTCAATCATTTGTATTATTTCTTATCCATTGTATCATTTTTAGGATGACATAGATTTGTAAAACATTAAAAATAATAGGATCTTTGATATAGTATGAAAAAAAAACTCGTATAAAGCGAGAGGATGCAAGAATAATAAAAAAATACTTCGGCTTTGTTTTTTTGTTTTTTTTCTTCTACGAAGTGAAGAAAACAAGGAACCGCATCAGAAGCAAATAATATACAAGCAGGGCAACTGCAAGGGTCTCGTTCCCCGCCATCCACTCTACTGCATCTCAAATTTTCATAAAGTATTCATATAAAATACAAATTTTATTGTAACCTAATTATCTACAATAATGGCTCATAAGTAATACAGGTGAACATTTCAACTAGAAAAATTTGAAAATAAATACAGTGTATCTAAAGACAAATTAGACATGTCATAAAAGATCATTAAAGAAATTAATGTTTTGCGGTAATTTTTAACTAACATCAATTTTGGATTTTTCGTGTTAAAAAGTTCAACATTATGGATAAGAAATGATTTTTTTTCTTTTTTTAAACTTTCACGGATTTGGACGTAAAACAAAATAACGTTTGACGATAATTTTTCATCCTTTAATAGTTGAAGTGCTTAGTTTAATAATTTGTAACGGCAAATATAGGTAAAAGGTGGGAAAATGGCAAATATTGATGATAGCCCTCAGGCACCCCCCACAGGTCGAGATGTTCGTGGGGTTAATCCACGCCGGCCTTGCCATGAAGGTTAAGAAGAGTGTGGCTATGAATCTTTGGGGAAATCTCTCATTAATAACTCTTTTACTACCCACGCAGTTGTAAGAGAACTGCTGGTCGACATATTGTCAGTCTTGAAAGGAATCGGGCGTGTCTTCTTTGATTTTAAAACGATATGATCAATGAACTATCAAATCTTAAAATGTGATCCGATACGCTAATCTCAGGTAGCGTCCCATTGTCATTGTTGTAGAACAGACGATAGAAATGGCGGGAGGAAAAAACAGGCTGATGTTTGTGATAGACATGTTCCGACTTGTTTCCTCATTAGCAGTCGACAGCGGAACTGACAGCGCGCGTTTCTAGGTTAAACAGTAAATACTATTATGTACTTATAAGAAAGTCTAGCCAGCTCTAATGCAGACAAGCTACATTTCCTCTCAAATAAATACACAAATATAGTCTTTCACAGCCGCTCACACACATTCTAAACACTTCGGTGAGAGACGAAAAAGAATTCATATTGTGACATGATTTCATTAATAAAAAAAAATGTAGAGAGTAATGATAACATTTATTAAACTTAGAATAATAAAAGTGATAAATTCAGTAAAGAAAAAAAAAGACTAAAAAATGTCTCGGTGAATTGTCTACTAGAATCCGTCCACAGGTCTGACTGATATTTTAAGATAAATAAACATGGGTCGACTTTTATTTTATGAATACATACGAAATATTTGGTCTGTTAAGCCTTAAGGCCGAGACAAATTCATGCTTTCATATTGTGATCTTACACGGCGCCAAAATATAACTAGTCAGGGACTGAATCGAATGTTACAAGTTGGATTCGAACCTGCGTACCCTTTTGGTATATGGAGGGGGGCGTCGTGGGATCTTACGTACTTTAGACCGCCTTTACCATAGAGTGCGTCGTCGATCAAGCAAAAGTTGAATATTGCCCTATAAATACGAATCTTTTTCAGACTCGAGAAATATCTGATATTGTCGAAGAGCGCATTTTTTTTTTAATAATATTTCTCGAATATATTGTACTAGACTGGCGTCTAGATCTTCCCAATTTACAGTTAAGCTGGCTATGAATTCTACGCTGACAGTTTCTTCTCTCGCACTTCTCTCTTGTGGAACTCCTTTCTGGTTCAATGCTTTCCGGGCCAACTTTAATCTTCAAAAATTTAAATTTTATCAAATTGTTATCTACTGTTCTCCTGGTTACACTTTTCTTGTTCTCGCTCTTTAGTAATGTTTCTGTTCCTAATTCTTCCATACTTAGTAACACCTTGTGTCTTGGTGGCTTTACTGCCCTGCATGGGGTGATACCGATTTTAAAAAAATCATTCCAGTAGTCAAAAATAAATAAATTTACTGTTTAATAAACGGCGCTTTTACTGAAATATGGGTATCCACTAAAATTACGTTTATGTAATAATTAAAAAATATGTCGAATTAATAAAAATCCATTATTTCTTTAGGAATAACCTATGTAAATATTCAATGAATTTGGATATATTTTCTATGTGGGGAAAATTAATACAGTATCTTAGAAAACGTACTACCCAGGTGCTCCTCTTGGAACCAAGCAGGATTCTTTATGAAGTCTCTCAGCAATAAAACATGCTAGGAATTCGTGGACGAATACGGGTAAGGCATAGGATGTTACATTGGTGTTGGATACGCAGGTTCGTTCAAAGATCTTGCTTGGCGTAAGACCTTCAACGCTAGATGAGATAATGCCCAAGCCTTTCCGAAATGGACCCGTGTTTGCGACCTCGAGCCTCATCGACACTCGGGAAGTCATGATGATAGAAGTCTGGTAGATACAGTCAGTAGCTTGCGGGAAGGATTGGCAAATGAGAGAACCCATCTGACGGGGCGTGACGTGAACGCTCCTTCGGTGTACCCCACAAATTCAGTCGAATGACTGAACCACAGGGTTCCTAGTCGGCGTTTGTCCCTGTGGTACAACCACCTTAACAACGTGAAACGCCAGGCTATCTCTCATCCCTACAGAATCCCCGACTTGGTTCCAGTGATACCTGTCTCTTCTGGTCCTGCCTGAATCGCCTCCGAACAGCTGTTGGTCGCTGTAGAGCCAACCTTCAGAAATGAATATATGCCATCGATGACGTGTCCAACTGTCAATGCGGACTATCACAAACTATGGAGCATCTTCTAGTTTGCTCCAATCTTGAAGATTCATGCACACTTAACGACCTTGAAACCATAAAACCCCAAGCAAGACTGTGCAGCACCGAATCGGTAGAGTATAGCGACCCGATAAGAGCAGTAACCCCCCCACACACACGCACAGCTTGCCCGCAGAATACATTCATCGTCTGGAAATGAATAAATGAAGACCTAACGTTACCATTTTCTCAGTCATGCTTGTATTAAAACTTGACCATTCTTTCTGATTTTTAGTACAGTGACCATTCTACATAGATGGATGTGCGGGTGGTGTAATGGATATCGGCCCTGAATGTGTAATCTGAAAGCCGCGTTCCAATTCTAGTCGGGTCCGTTACATTCACTTACTCGTAAATACTCTTAGGTAAAGCTATAAATCTATCTCTTCTTCCCTCCCCCCCCCAGCTATGGATTGACTAGCATGACAGACTGGGTCCTATAGCCTTGGTTGGCAACCTACTGCGAGAAAATCTTCTATCCAACCAGTCATGAATGGAAAGAGGCATGATCACTCAAGCGTTTATCGCGTATGGCACTTGACTGGCTGAAATAGTATGGATATTAATTTGCTTATCTCCGAACCAAACTAGTGTTGGAGTTGTACAGAAAACACCAAGACCAGAATTCTTTTCAATATTACTATTAAGTAATCCAGATCCTTAAAAAGGCGTTAATTGGGGATCCAGTAAATTGATTCTCCTACGGAAGGCAAAATAAAATATAGTCATACGACGTGATTTTTTTTTTTTTTAAATAGGCTTGCGGCCACATCCCTTGAAAACATCGGTTCTCGTACGATCACCGAAGTTAAGCAACGTCGAGTCTGGTCAGTACCTAGATGAGTGACCGCTTGGGAATGTCAGGCGCTGTAAGTTTGTGTGTGTGTGGTTTAGTGTATAATTGCTCAGAATTGTTAATTGGAAAGCAGTTCCAATTCCCATTGGGTTTGTTATATCCATTTACGTGCACATACTCTTATGAAAAGTATGACTTCACCTAGTGATGTGTTAATTAATAAGACATATCTCAAAAAATGTTTTTTTTTTGTTTTTTTTTTACTATTTTCGCCAAGACTTCAGCGTTGCTTTCTCGCTCCGTCCATGGAATTCGCAGTATCCCTAAACAAATGTCTGTTGCCTTCAGAATCAATTTAAATTTTAATCGTGATGCTGGCTGCTTTATATAGTAATACGAAAAAACTATTTAAAAAAATAAATAAAGTTCCGGCCGACAGCTCCATTTTTTTTTTTTTTTTTTTTTTTTAGTTCACAATGTACATACCGTGCTTACTCACGTATCATGCGACTTTTGAAGACCTAATTTTGGTGCTAATTTTAAGGGGGTCGCATCATATACAAGATATAAAGCTAACGTATATACTGCTAACCCTGGCTACGCCGTTAACCAAACTATATATACATTTACTGTAGACAAATTAGCTTCAAAAATTAGGTCTTCAAAGGTCACATGATACACGAGTATATACGTTAAATTAAATACTTATTTTACACCCGAGATGAATGGTTCTCAAACTGGGGTCCATACAACATTACTGGGTTTCACATAGAATTTAGTTGTTAAATAAATTTTTTTTCATTCAATTAGTTTTACTTTAAAGCATATACATTTACTATTTCTATAATACAATTCCTAAATTTATCTATTCGTCAAAAATAAAATGATTTTATTATTAATGATTATGGGGGGTCTGCTCAAAAATTTTAAGAATAAAAGTGGTCTATGGATGATAATAAGAAAAGAAAAAATAAAACACTGCCCAAGATGAAATTTCAAATTCCTCCCCTTGGGGTTGAAAGCAAAATATCCCCCATACATGGACTATAATATGAAGACAATGTCCCAAACTACTTCGCCATGTCCAGTCATTGACTGTAAATAAGTTAGTGAAAGCGACAAAGGAAAGGATGTGTTTTGTATCGGTTATGCCTTTCTGCGCTGATCCTTGTGCTCGTATTCATCTGGAAAATAGGTGTCAGGGTGAAGAGTCGGGTCGGCTATATAGAGCCCGGCGGTGAGTAATGGCGAAAGAAAATCACATCTTACTCCCCATCCCTTATCTATGTCACTTATCCGTGTCGAATAGGCTTTCAAGATGAAAATTGCTTTACTAAGAAGCTTGGCTATATAGAGATCATATAGCCAGCGTGGCTTTGCGCGGTAAATTAAAAATGTTTTTTGGTGTCTGTGTGTGAATTAGATTAAATCCGAAAGAATGATGAAATTAGGAAAAGTTAAAGGAGGTACGGTGGAGTAATGTATAGCGGCTCGGGTTGAAGAATCGGAGAGTCAAATCCATTACATTCACTTAACGTGCTGATACCGTTGAGAAAGGTATGAATCTTCTCCCCCCCACCCCCAGCTATGGGTAAATAGCAGAACAAATCTTGGATGGCAATTGGTGTACTGCAGAAATAAAATGGCAAAATACTGCAGGAAAAAAATTTGCCTCGTCAGTCATGTATCGAAAGATACATGATCGCCTAAGTGTGTATCACATAACTGACTGACTTATAAATTTAGCATCATACTTATTATAAAACTCAGGTTGTGTGTGTGTGTGTGTGTGTCTGTTCGTTTATATATTGGATCGGATTTCCTACATTTTTCAACCGATTTCAACAAAACTTCACAGGACTACGTAAAATTACATTGCGGTGGTTCTGACAGCGCCAAAAATTGGAAAAACAATTGTTTTTGCACGAAATCAATTTGAAAACGCGATTAAGAGGCATCGCTGTCGAGAATGAAAGGGGGACAACTCATATCGAGTTATACTTATTATAAAACCCAGGTTGTTTGTGAGTGTATGTGTGTTCGTTTATATATGGATTCGGATTTCCTACATTTTTCAACCGATTTCAACAAAACTTCACTTTTTTTTGGCAGGTAGTGTTTCTTATTGTCTTGCACACTTTTTTCTTTATTTTTACATTCAGAATGCTTTAAAAATTACATTTACAAGACAATTGTTTATAATAAAATTCCATTCAATCGGTAGACTCATAACGATTGAAAACAATGTTTTTGTTTGAGTTTGGGTTTGACCAATTCGTAAAAAAAAACTAATTAAGACATGCGTGCTTCAGCCTTAAACAATAATCTTTGTCAATTTTATTTTTCAATCTTTATGATGGTCGATACTTGATCTATCTCTTAATGTTACATCCCCGGGCAAAGCCGGGCTCTACTGCTAGTGTTTAATAAAATTGAACCAACCCAAACCTCCAAATTTCTCGATACACAGTTTGGTCTTTTTTTCCTCTCAACCATGAAATTTACCTTCACCTTAATAACTCTCATCAAAGCAACAGTGAACACCAACTAGAAATATAATGCATACATCTTCCCGTCTTTAATTAAATGTGTTTGAATTCTTCCTCCTTATCTTGTACACAGCATGATCTGAAAAATACAATGGAGAAAACAATTATAATAATACTGTTATAATCTTAAATGAATCTTAATCTGAATGAAAAATCACAGAGCTCGAATTCCAGTCGGGTTCGTTGCATTCACTTACGTGCAAATACCTTTGGGGAAATGTATGAATCCACCCCCACCCCCCCAGGTTGAATAGCAGGACAGATTGGATCCTGTAGCCTTGGTTGGAAACCAGTCTACCGTAGAAAGAAATGGCATCCTTCTGTCAGTCATGAATCGAAAGAGACCTGATCACCCAAGCGTGTATCCTGCCTATGGCACGTAAATGACTAAACATATTTTAGGTTTCGACTTCTTATGTATGTTAACATTTTTGAAAGTCAGTTGAAGTCCGCTTTCAATAAATCATGAGATCTGCTATTGACGGCGCACAATCATGTGTACTGCATGACTTCAGTCTCTCCAAAAAGTGTGACATAATTTTACTGTGGAAATGGATTATTGCAGATTGAATTTTTTTTGAATCGGCGCAACGGATTTACAAAGGCGGAAGCCTTCCTACAAGTTTCATGTGATGATTATAGCATATATCGATATAGTTACAGATTAGCTTAAAAGCCTCACTACGTGCCGACTTTTAAGCTAGCTCTTCCGGCCCAAAACTAAAGGGACCTCTGATCCAGCTTAGGAAAAAGCAATGATAATTTTTGAAGAAATAACTTTGAATTTCTCAATTCGTTCCCTGAAACTTCAAAGCTCACTTCAACTCTGATTCGGGTTATTAGTCCAGTTCAGGCAAAAAGTCCGATTAGGGCGAAATTCCAATTCAGGCCGAAAATTGAGTTCTTCAAATCACAAACTCTGCAGATCTTCAAAACCTCGCGTCACGAAAGCTTTCTCTTTAATTCTGATATCTTGACCTTTTGAAGAAATAAAATTGATTTCCTCAATTCTCAAAATTTTGGAGATATTTTAGACTGAATTTAAAACAAAAAAAAAAAATAAATTCACGAAGTTTTTGTTACTTTAAACTAGGTACATCCATGAGATCGCTAAAATAAAAGAGCATAGCATGATGAGAAAAACGCCAAATTTGACGAAAAGAAAATTCCATCGTCTAAATGTTTATTTTATTATTAAGAGGAAAGATCAAAGTTTATTTTAATTATTTTTAGAAAATTTTCTTTTTAGAACATTCTAAACTTTGATTAAAAAAAAACAAACCTTGTTTCTCTTTGTATCACCGGAACTAGTAAAATAACATACAATTTTTAGCACATTTTTTTTTGTGTGTGTGTGTGTGTGTGACACACATTAATTTGGAAAATCTTGCAAAAATAAAAAATAATTGTCGGATGTTAATGAAACTTTCAGAAACTATTCACAGATGATCGAAATTATTATATTTTCTTTTTCTTTTTTTTTCTTTTATTAAAGTCGTGGCAGAAATATTTTTTATATTTATTACCCCCTCCATAACTAATTTTATGAAAACGCTAAAAATTCAATCGCGTCAGGTTTAGTGATTACAATAGTTAAAAGCACAAGGCTTTGAGGAATGCAAATCATTTTTTTTCTTATTTTTAATTGGACCCCCCTACCTGAAAATCAGCTCCGAATTGTAACATACAAAACTCCATAAAACAAAGATATTATTTAATTTCAAATGCTTTTATTTGCTTTTATGAATATAGACAATATTTTCTGAAAGCAAAAAATTCTTTTGATGAAAATGAATTTTTAATACAATTATTTGTTATTTCTTTAATTATAATAGATTTTTACATTTAAGTTGTTAAAATATTATAAAATTAGTTAAAAGCCGCATCAGGTTTCCTAAGTGTCCTTATGAGATAGATCTTTTTTTAGTGCGTTGTATCATTTTGACTAATCAGAAGATCCGCAGTAATTAAGAAATGTAATTTTGTGTTTATAATCTGGCTGTAATCATAAAGTACGGAAGACCAACCAGAATACAATTAAGTTGTGTTATTTGAGTTAAGCATTGTCCTCCGCTGTTAAGGCCTTCACTTTTGCGAAACACGTGTGGAGAAGTTAATTTGATTTTTCAATTTCAACTGAGAAGGGTACCTACACGTATCAGTATCATCTTATGAAATTATATGATTTTATTTTTATATTAATCTCAGTTATGACATTTTTTTTCCATAAATAAAATATCAAAATTAATAAAATGAATGGAAATACAAATAACACGGTAAAATGTAATAAATGTACATACAATTATAGCATTTTATGTACACTTCTGATAAAATTTCATAAGAAAGGTACCTATAAATTAATTAGATACCTTTCTTATGAAATATGAAATTTAATCTCACTCTTAAGTCTTATTTTAATTTCTTTATAATATATTTTTCATAAAGCATCGTAAACGTAAAGGTGAAAGCTAAGTACAAAAAAATTAGAGCGCTGAAAGTTTTCCTTAAAAATAACGAGGTAAATTTGT